ACTCTGGTGTCTTCTCCAAGACCTCGCATACATCACTGACCCCTGCTGGGCCCAGATTTCCTCAGCCCTGAGATGAGGGTGAGGGTTGAAAGAAGGAGAAAGGAGGTTCTGTGATCCTCTGTCAGCCCAAGAGCCAAAGCAGTCTAAGATGGCCTGGATGATGTCATTAACCAAAGGTGCAAAGTCAGCAGGAAACAGAACTTCACCTACTGGTCCCCAAGGGGCACTTAGGGACTAGTTTACCTAGCTAAGACTTGGAAAAAAGCAAGGCATGATAATGTACACTCGCAAACCCAGTGTCGGGAAGACACATACATAGGAGCTGACTACTCAGACTAGCTAGCCTAGGGTCACAGTGACAGACCTGGTGGCGGGGAGTGAATGGCTCCTAAGGAGCACAGAAGTTGTCCTCCAGCACCCACACCCCACTAGACACGTTCTCTCTCTGTCTCTCTGTGTGTCCCTCTCTTCTAGTTGAGACCAAGAAAAGCTACTAGAGAGCAAGCCCTTGGGGACATTTGTGTTAGAGCAGTTTTAGAACACTCATGCAGCCACCACACAAGTGAGGTCAACCTCTTCTTCCCGATTTTACTGATTATAAAGCAGGTTCAGAAGAGCTCAGTAGCTCTTCTGGTGCCCACGGTGTTTCTGCCAGTGGACTGGCTGCTCTTATCACGAGAGCAAGCTGTATTTGTTCCTAACATGCCAGGGCCTCAGTTCTTGGGTCAGACCCAGTGAAAAGAGTTAATGACTTCTAGGTGCCACTTGGTGGGGGGAGGGGGCATTCTTCAGATCAAGGACTTCAGCATCCCTCCCTGAGGAATCATGGTGAAGACTCACCACCCCCACCCCTAGCCATTCACTCGGCAGGCTGTTTCATTATTGACACAACCACCGAGACACAGATCTTCGTGCTAATTTCCCTTCACTGTAAATGGCGGAAAAGTAATGGTGTCAATTTTAATGAGGATCAAGCAAGGCTCCTCACAGGACCTTGTCAATGAACAGCAATCTCCTCACACACAACAACAACGGCCTGCTGTTTCATTCTGGAACACAAGAGTATCGCTTAAACTTCCACGGCATTTACCCAGATGTGCGGATGTGGAGCCTGTATGCCTCCATGCTTCCTAACACCGAACCATAGATGGGGGTGGTGCAGAAACGCTCCAGCAAGAGCTGAGCTGCCTGGTCACTGGAAACAGCTGCTAGTTTTCTGTGAAATAAAGAGGTAACTGAGACCTTGTTACCACACAGCAAAGTACTGCATTTGGGCTCCAGGGCCACCAGGAGTTTGCTGCCTAAGCCTGAATCCTTTCTGTTCCCACTTGCCAAGAAGATGTTCAGAACCCTGTAAGTCTTTATGAGGCTCCTCGCTGACTCAATTCTCATTTTATTAGTGCTTCTCAAAGCAACTGCTGGGGTTTTCAGGGAGAAAAAAAAAAGTATTTCACACCTCTATCTTTACTGAAAAATGTCTTCTATTCCACTGACTTTTGACTTCTATTTATAAAGAAGGTTCAAGGCTTAGAGAAAAAAAAATCACTGGAGTTGTGCTTTAATGGATATTCCCAACCAGCATTGTGTCATTATTGGCCCGGGCTGAGCTGGGCGATCTCCCAAACTTGTGACATAATCAGGCCTCTCTCTGCATTACTCCATACACTCCATGCTCCCTCCACATCACACCACTGAATCATACGCTCTTTTCAGCAAGACTGATTGCCAGGGGATTAACATTAGACAGGCCAATTCCATTATTCAGCAGCCCCATTCAAATCCCAGCCCTAAACTCTAAGAGAGATTTCAGAGCTTTCACAGGGATGAGCCGCCAGCGAGCTCAAAGGGGAGGTGGGGCGAGGGGCTTTTGAATGTTTAACACAACGACTCAAGCTAAAACCTGCTGTAAGCAAGACCCTGGGGCTACATCGGCCCTGCCTTGACTCTTCAGTTCTTGGAATGGCCCCAATCATGAATAATTTGTAGACCTGTGCTAGGCTCAAATCCCAAAGGACTCTTACAGAACAATTTTTTTCCTCCATAATAAATTACTTAATTTTAAATTTAAGTATTCAGAACTTTTAGCTCCAAATCTAACTTTCTTTTCTTAATGCAAACACTTCGTGTCAGATTCAGTCCACGCAGCCTGAGGTAAATCCCAAATCATGTGCTCCTTGATGAATGGATTTAGAGCCATTTGTGACAGAAGAAATCCTCTCACACGTCACTCCTCTGTGTGTGTGTGTTTACTAAAATATCTGAGCCTAGCATACCACAGATGTCTCTATAAGAAACATGACCAGAGGCAGGCCTGATGATGCAGGTCACAAGATGAGCTACTCAGGATGCTGGGGTGGAAGATCAAAAGTTTCACCTGCCTGGATAACACAGCAAGGTCAAGGCCAGCCTGGGCAACTTAATGAGATCTCGTCTCAATATTTAATAGACATATTTTTAAAATGTCTGGAAACAGCTGGGCGATGGTGGCACACACCTTCAATCCCAGCACTCGAGAGGCAGAGGCAGGCGGATCTCTGTGAGTCTGAGGCCAGCCTGGTCTACAGAGAGAGTTCCAGGTCAGCCAGGGCTATTACACAGGGAAACCCTGTCTCGAAATGAAACAAAACAAAACAAAACAAACAGAAAAGTCTGGAATATAACTCAATGACAGAACACTTGCCTAAGGCATGGCAGGCCGTGATTTCAGTCCTGAGTATTTGGGGATGGGAAAGTGGGAGACACAAGCCATGTGTGGGGGTTAGCACCTATAATCTCCACACTAGAGAGGTGGAGACAGGAGGAACAGGAGAGTTCAAAGTCATCCTCAACTACGCAGCAAGTTCAAGGCTAGCCTGGACTACATGAGACCATCTCAACAAACATAGAAGTAAATAAAAATAAAGACATAAAAGAAGGCTCTGTCACTCTTTCATGGATAGTTAGTGTGTAAGTATTACACAATGGCCTATCAAATTTCACATTAAGCCTTCTGAATAACTCAAAATACTCTTGTCACTTAAATGCTTACACTCAAATGGAAGTTAAAGATATATAACTTTGTATAAACTTGTATAAACTATGCTTGGTAAGGTAGAGATTTTGTGACTGTAACCTCACTTAACCAGACAGAAAAACCAATATGACTTTCTTTTGTTTTTTTTTTTGTTTTTTTGGTTTTTCGAGACAGGGTTTCTCTGTGTAGCTTTGCGCCTTTCCTGGGACTCACTTGGTAGCCCAGGCTGGCCTCGAACTCACAGAGATCCGCCTGGCTCTGCCTCCCGAGTGCTGGGATTAAAGGCGTGCGCCACCACCGCCCGGCTCCAATATGACTTTCTGTTTTAACTTTTAGTTAACCTAAATCTTCAACTAAATAAAACTATGCAATTTGGTTAATCCCACATTGAGGAAGGTTTTTAATGGTTCTTGGGCAGCCCAAGAATTTGCAGAATCTTCCTTTAAATAGTTTACATTTTATAAAAGGACAGAAATACTCATAAGTAAGATAATATCCAGGTCCATGCATAGGAAATGTTGTAGGAGAGTCCATGTTTACAGAGTAAAGCGGGTAGCCACGTTTGTGGAGTCACCAAAGGCCGTGAGAAATCAAAACAGATCCCTGGGAACTCTTGAGTTGAGACCTCAGGCAACGGTCTGCACACGGAAGAGTAACCCAAAGAAATGACCAGGGACAGGAAAGGAGTCAAGTCAATTCAGAGCACAGACAGCTTCTATAGGGAAGAGCTCTGAACCCACCATCCCCACAACACAGAGAGGCCTAGCCGCAGACTCCTGTCGAGGTCTGTGAGCAAACACAGCTACCAACTCAGAGCTGACAGGACTTGGAATTGCCTAGGAGACAAACCTCTGGGCAAGTCTATGCAGGAGTTTCTAGAGTAAGTTAATAAAGGTGGGAAGGGCCACCTTACAAGTGGGTACCCCACTACATGGACTGCACAAAAAGAGGAGGGAGGTAGGTGCCTTGTTCCTGACTCCACGCCATTGCCACCATGGCAGACTCACGCTGTGAGCCCAAATGAAAGGCTCCTTCCATGGGTTGCTTTTGTTGAGTGTTTTGTGCAACAACAAGAAAAGTAACTAATGTAGCAACCAGTCAAATCTCTTCATTAGTCACAAAAAACTCATGATAACCAGTAAAACTTGGGAGGAAACGTTCCTTTTGGGAACGACAGGATGTGTAACCGTAAGATGGGTAACAAAAATGATCTACTTATCTTTGACAAAAACGTATTTGTGAGCTCTCAAATACAAGTGGTTCCCTTTGCTCAGAGAAATGTCTTCCAGGAATAGACGGTGAACTACCCAATGACCATCTCTGACATTGGCTTTTTTCTTCCAGCCAGGCACAGGCTCAATCATTATATTAATTTTTTCTTTACTCTTCAGTCAATGTGTTAAGTTGTCCTTCTTTAAACAATGTTGCCTCTCTTTTAAAATCAAATTTTTCCAGGGCTGGAAAGGCGGCTCAGCAGTTAAGGGCACATACTGCTCTTCCAGAGGACCTGGGTTCCATCCTCAGCATCCACACTGGGTGGTACACCACTGTCTATGGCTCTAGCTCCAGGAGATCCAATGCCCTCTTCTGGCCTCTACAGGCACCTGCACTCAATTGCACGTAGCCACACACAGACACACACTTACATAATTAAAAGTTTCCCTGCACACACTAAGATTATTTAAAGTAATCTTAGCTTCCAGAATGAGATGTTTCATTCTGATTATTTTATACTTTTATACTGATGAAAGATAATGCTTCAGAACCAAGAAGATTCCCCCTGAAGCCCATAAAACCTGGCTATTCAGGAAATAGAACACAGTCATATGACAGACGCAACCATCTCAGATGATATCTCATGGATACAAAAAAAGAGACAAGCCGATTCTCCCTAAGTGTGAGGAGAAAAATACCCTCACTGTGTGGTTTTAATTGAGTCAAGCTAGGATAGATTGGCGGTGTACTGCTGCCCAAGAGGCCAACTCACCGACAACATCCAGGTGGTATGTGTGGTTGATGGACCCGTACTCATTCTCCACGAGGCAGGTGTAATTGCCTTTGTCCGACGGGACCACGCTCTCCATAATAAGGCTCCAGTGCTGGTTTCGTACCTGAAAAAGCCAAAGGAAAGGTGGTTATTTATAACAAACCTAGCACCAGATACCTGTGGTGTGCTTTCTTGACTTAAAATGAATATTAATATTAAATTCATTTGAATATTCATTTTAATGGATATCGTTCTGTATAAATAAAACATTGATTGGCCAGTGGCCAGGCAGGAAGTAGGCGGGACAAGGAGAGAGGAGAATTCTGGGAAGTGGAAGGCTGAAGTGGGGTAGACACTGCCAGTCTCCGCCATGACAAGCAGCATGTGAAGATGCCGGTAAGCCACGAGCCACGTGGCAAGGTATAGATTTATAGAAATGGGTTAATTTAAGATATAAGAACAGTTAGCAAGAAGCCTGCCACGGCCATACAGTTTGTAAATAATATAAGCGTCTGTGTGTTTATTTTATAAGTGGGCTGTCCGACTGCCGGGGCTCGGCGGGACCCAGAGAGAAGCTCTCCAGCTACAGAAGTTGGCTGGGGCTAAGAGTGGACACAATATGTTCAGCACCCACATGGCCTGGGTTCAATTCCCAGGGAAGTGGGTGGAAGTAGAGAATGTGGAGGAATTGTAACCTGCCCTCACAATTAATATTCAGAATGGTGATGAATGATAAGAGAGGTTTCCCTAGAACAGCCTGGCAGGCAGGTAGTGGCACACTCTGAATACACAGGGCTATCCAGGAGGACACAAAGATATGCCCCCGTCTTGGATTTGAAGTTCCATTAGGAGAACCCACATGGCCAAGAGATCCAAATCACTAAGCCACACAATGTCATATCTGACTGGCAGGGAAACTACTAAGGCCACCCTCCCAGTGGGAGCCTGCAGTCCCCAGAGCACCATGGAACCACCTGGAGCCAACACTGGTGATCACCAGCTATATGCCACACCTTCTGCCTTAGCTAACTTAATTCCCCAAGAAGCCCTTGGGTCAGATCTATTCTTGTTCCGACAGCTTCTTGTTTCTTTCTCTGGGCCCCCAGATCTATGGAAGTTTCAAGCAGTTTCACCTGGGACCATGGGTCTGCCCTTCTCCCTTCCTGCTGGGAGACGAATAAAAGGCACGTGTTCCTGGTATTCCCAGAATTCCAGGCATGGGAGCAAGGACTCCAAATTACTTATCTGTTTGCAAGTGCCTTGAGACTTTCCAAAGATAAGAAGTGCACATAAAACGGGCCTATTGTGAGTCCCACCCACAGCCTGTCAGCTCACACTAGGTTCTAATGTTCTCATCTTACGAGAACCTAAACTAGAAAGTAAGGAGAGTCACCTCACAGCCACTCCCTTCTAAGAAGAGAGGGCAGGGCAGTCGTCTCATGATGCACCTGCGAACAGGGGTAAGAGTATGCCATGACTGTTACTGCAGGGAGGCGGGGGGGGGGGGGGGGGGGGGTACTGCTGCTGAGCTCAACACCAAGGTCATCGTTCCCACCAGGGTGTCACATGGTGCCACTGAGGTAAGGAAGGGGCTGGATCCCTCTTAACAGCACAAGCCAAGGGTTGGGAATGAGGCTAAGCATCGCCTTGCTTAGATGCCACTGACTCCAACCCTTGCACAGCTGTGGAGTTGCCTCAGAGTCCAGCACAGGAAGGTGGCAAAGGAAAACCAACCCACAAGCGAGATAGGTGGGGGGAGGGAACGAATCTGAGGGCTTCAGGCTGATAACAGAGGAAGTCTGTGCTCCTCAAAAGACTCACATAGGTCTCCTTGCAGGACCTGCAAGACAGCCTGAGAGGAAGAGAGATGGCTTCCTCACAGGTAAAAGTTCCCTACCCCACACAGTATCAGAGTCCTGCTGGGGGAAACACATGCCAAATTCCACGGTCTTACAGGAACCGATCTAATTCCCGTCCCAGGGTGCTACCTGAAGCTGGCACTCTGGAAGATGGGGAAGAAGTAACCAGCTCTCTTGCAGAACTCAAGGCAGACCCTCTGCATCCCAGGATCTCAGGAATATCAGAAACGGCTCTCTCCTTGCCAGCCACATGGAGGGTAATTTGGGGATGCAGCCACAGGCTCCAGAGTCACCAAGCCTCATAATCCAGCCTTGAGCCCTGCTGTAAATATTCAGTTCTTTGAGCCCCCGCTCAAATGTCATGCCTGTAAGCCTTTAATCATGGCAGCGCCTCACTCTGGACCCCATCCAAACTGTCAATGTCTTTCTTGTGCCTGGATTCAGACTCTGGCACATGGCATATTCCAAATGGATTTGCCCCTGAACTGTTAAGGGAGGTGACGTTGGCTGTCCAAGACATCAGATCTTGGCTTGGGGCAGTACAGCCTGGCAGCTGCCTTTCTGGATACCACCACCACCACCCCACCTCTCTTGCAAAGCACATGGTCTGTTAGGTGTTTCCTTGGGTCTTTGGCATTCTAAGAAAGAGCCCTGAATATTCATCTCTTGGAGACACACTACAAATATCAATAAGTTAGTATGCTATTACAGTAAGAAGCACATAGACCAAAGAAGGTATCTCCACCCTCCTAGAACCTTATTACTCAATCAATATCCCCCACATGCAGTGCTGTTCATATTTTCTTTCTGACACCACTGCTCGCAACTGAGTTCCTTGACACACCATCACACCCAAATTTTAAAGCTGTGGCGTTTTGCAAACAGATGCTCTTAGAAACCTCCAACAGTGGGAGGTAGATGCTTCTGTTGTAGAGGAGAGCCTCCTCTTAGTGAGAGTAACAGCGAGTCAAACAACCCCAACAGCAATTCTGCAAGAAATGGGACACTGAGTTCGGAAACGTATTAAATCAGTGTTTGCACACCAAGCGTCCACGTGACCTGAAGAGGGTACCCTTGCAGCGAGCATGTGAACAGCACCTCGCCCTTCAGCGTGCTCTTCTCAGTGTCTCAGATCTGCAGGGCCACAATTATTTTGTCATTTGGGTCAAATGCATATACATTGATTTTGCTTTCGGAGAACAGGGAATATAAATACCGCCCCCCCTCCCCGAGCCAAAAAATCTGAAAGGCTGTTCAGTCTCATTAGCAATCAAGGGAATGCAAATTAAAACAATAATGAGACACTTGTTCACCAGCTGATTAACAAAAATTAGGAAGACCAGTGTCACTTTCGAACTTGGCGGGTGAATATAAGGGAACACAGAGACAAATGGAAAACGGCAACATAAAGCCAGAGAAACCAGTCCGAGGAACAATTTGGTGGCACCCGTTAAAATTAATGACATTTTGTTGTTGTTGTTGTTGTTGTTTAACCCTGTTAATGCTACGTCTGGGTATCTTGTCTGCACAAAATAACCAGTCTAGCCAATCAGCAAGTTCAAGGTTCAGTAAGAGACTTTGTCTCACAAAATACGATAGAAAGTGACGAAGGAAGACACTTGATGGCCACCTCCAGCCTCCAAACACGTGTGTGCACACACAGGGGCACACAGACACACGAACTGAAAGAGAAGGGCTCCTCAGCCGTCTGCTGGGTCCTAGATCCTGCTCTGGAGAACGTCCGCATCTGGATCTCTCTAGCTGACCAAGAACAAAAGGCCAGGGACAGGAGGAGCCCTGCATCAGGCAGCATTCCTGGAACTTTATTTTCATTCCTGCCCACAGCCAAATTTGTGTGGAATTCATCCTTATTTTCCCGCTGCCAAGAAACAGAACTGGTGAGCAGAGCTCCAAAACTATGTTCACCAAGGTCTTTCTTGAAATAACATTTCAGTATTGAAACAAAGCAGACTGACGCTAAGCCCCTGAGCAGTTAACATGGAGCACGAAAAACAGACTCCACAAACGGTCCACACCCCAATGTGAAGAGAGAAGGTGGTTCAGACAGCTGGTTTGTTTTGTTTTATTTTCCCAGACTCTTCGGTTATCTCAAACCTCTCTGAGTGCCTGTGAAGGCTTCAGCTATGTCCAGGTGCCATAGGGAGTGAAGACTTAACATCAATGCAGAATCGAACATATCACCAGAGAGTCGAGGGTCAAAGGCCCCAACTGTCACCTGGATGTTTGGCTTCCTCATTGCAAAACAACAAAATATTCAAAGATTTCCAAATACCCAGGTGTGCACTACCAAGTGGAATAAACATCCAGAAGCTGTACCCTGAGCCAGCTCGGAGGAGGTATCCATGTGACAACAGATGCCCCTGTGACTTCCCAGAAAACAGCAATCGCTGAAGCCTGGGCTTCAGAAAGGCAGTCTACAAATACACCCGCTGTTGTTAAGATGTATGGAATCTCACTATTCCATATCAAGCCCCATTTCCAGAAGGCTCTTGGGGATGTCAAGCCATTCCTTCTGGATGTAATCGTGCACGGGGCTCACACATGTGGAGGGACTGGCACTCGGGGCTGCTGGTCATCATTTCTGTCATTACCCAGAAATGAAGGTAAACACTCGTTAATGCTTAAACCGGCATTGATGGGTAGCAGTTTGCTTTGCAGGGGGCTGTCCAGAGAGCAGGGCTGCACATCAGCCCCGTACCACCGCTAGTGGAAACAGAATCTCTCCACTCTGCCCAGTCAACAACCCCTGAATCTCTGCAGAGGAAGTGTGATTTACAACTGCAAAATGCAAGGATGCCCAACTCAACGGCCTGTTGCCTGACAGCGCTAACAAAGTGGGCGGCAACAGGGCATCAGCAACGGGGCATCTCACACCTTGCAAACTCAGCTCTTTAACAAGGCTGACCTTCAAAACCTGAACAAAGAACTTTCCAGTGAGTCCACTAGGTATCCACCCCAGAGAACTGAAAGCAAGGACACAGACAGAAGAACAGAAATGATCACAAAAGGTGGTAGGTACATCCATTTGATGAACTAGGAATCAACCATAAATTACGCTTTGACTCATACTAGAACATAGATGAATCCTGAATACATTACATCATGTAAAATAAGCTGGGCATAAAAGGCAAACACCCTGTGACTCCAAAATTTCATAGACAAAAAAAAAATAGACTTGAGGATCTCAAGTACTGGGGGAGGGGTAATTTCTTAATGGGTGCAGAGATTTTATTTAGAGTAACAA